AGTGACAAACACACCTATATCAAATGATAAATGCATCCAGTAGTGCCTCTATATAAAAGTTAACAAAAAGAATGAGCTCCGGCCACTGATAATTGCATTTCGTTTGCACCCGCAGTTTGCTCCCTCTTAATGTCCTAATCACAAAGGATATCGAGCGAACGATATGCCAGCGCAAACATGACCCCAACGTTTGAACACTTCCGTGCAGGTTACATGTTTTACCGGAATGCCACACATGGCAATGTATACGTGCTGGCTTTGCTCCAAAAACGCTGTGGTAGAACAATGGCAGTTAGGAAGAGAAATAAATGATCAGAATGCGTGTTTTTGTTGTCCTGACTGAGGAGGTACAGATGGAACCGAAGACTCGAATCAATCATTATCAAAATTCACATGGACATCTCTACTAATGCCCACACGAATCTCAGAAAATATCAAAACAATTGCCTCAATATTTAGAAGTTTCTGGACATTGGTCGTAGTTTTCTGACATGAACTGGCGTTTTTTTACATTAAGCATTACATTAAGGAGCTGAGAGCCTCCACAAGCAACAGAACATTAAGCATTATAAATGTCCTGGTTGCAAAGCCATTCCTCCCAACCTCAGGCCTTCAAGAAATACTTCCCCTTTCTAAATATTCACTCACAAGCACGCCTGGCATCAAAGCCGCCCTTGACACAATTGTGGCCCCACACAAGCTTTCATCTCAGGGCCGGGTATTTCCTGGTGCGCGTACGTAATATAAGACAGGTTCCCTCACATTGGTCAGTTGTGGCAGGTTGCAATGCGTCAACTCCCAATTTTACATCAGCTTTCCATAGACGTTTTTTGCTTCCCTCAAACTGCATACGACTACTGTATTAGCACTGGTATTAATGAAGTACCGGTAGATGTTGTTCGTCCCTTTGCATAGATGTGGGCAATTTCTCTGCCAGATATGCATTTTACGAAGGATTTCTCTGTCACATTTTTCCACTAAAGTCTAAGTCCGAGTCAGCTGATTTTGAGGATGTGCCAATATCGAGTCCTGATCCAATACCTCGGCAATGTGTTAAGGAGGAAAAAAAAAAAAAGAGCACAACTATTTAAAACATTTAAATTCTTTGTTTTTTTGGGGCCTCATCATTTTCAAGTGGTGTATGAAGTGAGTTGTATGAACCACTCTCTCTTTTCTGCCACGTAGTGCAGGTCGTCATTGCACTGTCTCCATTCTCCACATACTACAGACATTATCAGAATCTATATCTGTAGAACACACAAGGAATTTGTCCCCGGTAGTACAGGCTACACTCGTACTGTCAATAACAAGCAACTACAATAAACAAGGACATGACAAATAATTATTGAAAGACTTTCCATCATGTAAGGGTACCATTGTGTAGTAGTACCACCTGAAGACAGCTGTGAGTCAATGTACGAAGTATTGAGCAGAGATAAAGTGATCAGTGGTGCAATACAATACTGTGACGGTTCTGCAGTTGGTGCAGATAACCGTTGCACCTTTTTTAAAGTGACCAGTAACAGTATTTGTAAAATAACTTTCATCATTGTTGACTTTTCCTGTTCCCGTCAGTGTTGCTTTTTTTTTCTTTTTTTTTTTCTTTTTTTTTCTTTCTTTTGCTGCTGTAGACTGTAAATTTCCACAGTGTGGGACAAATAAAGGATATCTTATCTAATCTTATCTTATCTTATATTTTGACAATGTCTATGTACCTCTGTATTGTTTGTTGCAAAATTTAAAATGGGGGTTCCTGTTAAGTTTAGCAAATGCATCCTGGAGACTTTTTTTAGGTCTGTGGGCTGTTAGATGTACCTTCCAAAATTTCATCGATCTTGGAGAAAAGTACAAACCCTCTAGTTGGTGTTAATTGGTGAACTGTGCGTCGCCACGGCAACAGTGTTTCACAAAAACTCACAAACTTTGTGTTTTCAAATAATGAACGCCTAAATACTCCTGAAGGTAATTATGTGATTGACTTGCAACCACAAGGAAGAAAACATCAACGAAAAAAACATTACTGTAGCCACTAGAGGGTATGGTCACTACTTTGAAAAATAAGTTGGGCGATGTCAAGTTAAAGCAGTTTCTTGTCTTGGTGAATCATTACAATTTGCGGGACTGTAATGTCTATGCATGGAAACTAAACAAACCTTGCACGCTCATCGACCCAGGTGTAAAATGTGATATTTTAAAGTTGTCATAAATGAAGAAAACAAAATGCTGTGCACCGCCACCTAGAGTGGAAAAATAACCAATCCTGGTACGATTGACCAAGGCCTCCGAAAATTGGCTGGCACATGTAGCACCCTGAGATGTTCATTTTAAACGATGATGACAGTTTACTTTTTTTTGTACAAGAAGTGAGCTATGAATATTTGAATGTCCAATTTTGGTCAATTTTGCACAACTCCAGGGGTCATAATTACATTCCCTGAAGAAATCTACAGTATATGATAATATTCTATTATACAAACAGCGCCACCTAGTGATGACTAAAAATGTCACTTTTGTACATTTGAATGTAGTGCACGGAGCCCGTTGAATGAATCAAACTGAAAATTTGTCAGAAAAGCCTCATGAAATTCATCATGCTCCACACCAAATATTGTGACTTTTCGGCAAAGGGTGTGGACATTAGAGTGCCTAAAATTCTGATGATTCACCATAATAATACCTGCGTTCACTGCTTGGGCATGATAATTTCCAAGATGAGTCCTTTTCTGCTCACCTTCACATACAGTAATTATGAACCCCACTGGAACAGCTCTGACCCCCCAGTCAGAACATGGAAAAATGGGCAGAGAATGGTGACTTTTGAATCTAAATTGTTCAGATAGTTTACAACGATAAAAAAAATATATATATTTCCACAGTGTGTGTGGCATGGCCCACCATTTTTGGCATTGAATGCCAAGGGCTGTCAGATTAATTTGATCGAACTGAAATGTGATTGCACAAAATAATGATAATAATAATAATTAACCCACAAACAACCGGAAGCTGCACAGCCAAGGCACACGCTTTGAAGTGAAGACAATAGACTGTTGGAAATAAATGATTAAAATTTTCTGCAAGGTGTAAATGTAGGTCAGGGCTTTTGAAAGTCTTGAGGCCACCACAGAAGGCTGTGAAGGCCCTGATTGTATGGCACTGGTCAAATGTCAAACTCTCTTTATTTGGTTTAAACCTAAATTTACAAATTGAAAAAAGAATTAATTTTCCTAATAATCAATGTATACCAAGCTAAAAAAAATGTGACCACATAACCCGTATTTGAAGCGAACTGTGGATTTTGTATGAAAAATGACAAAAACAAGCAATTAGGCCTTTTTTGGAAATCACTCAAAATATTTTATCTGCTTAACATTGTGGGGTGGAATGTTATATTCCACCCCCATGTCTGTTCTCCTTCCCCTGTTAAAAGGACATAAATAATGGTGAACATACAAGTGGATATACTCACATGGTTGAGTCAGTTAGATTGCAAACAGACTATCAATCGCCAAAAGTCACATTCATTTCATCACTGCCCCCTACCCCCCTTTGATTCTCATATTGGTATGGCAAACCAGTTCATTTTTACTCCAGCTGTTACTTCCATCCATCCTGATGCGCTTATCCTCATAAGGGACGTGGGCCGTGCTGGAGCCTATCCCAGCCGTGATCAGGGCACACATATGAACAACCATCCATGCTCACACTCTCACCATGCATGTTTTTGGAATGTGGGAAGAAACCGGAGTACCCAGAGAAAACCCACACAGGCACTGGCAGAACATGTAAACGCCACATAGGGAGGCCGGTGCCGGAATCGAACCCCGCACCTCTGCACTGTTAGGCCGATGTCGACCACCGGGCCGCCTCAGCTGTTACTTGTTATACTGAAATTTTTTGTTTGTTTATTTTGTACTGTGTCTTTCCATCATCTTCAGCTAGTCATAGCAAACCCTCAAAACCATACATACTAGTACAGTGGTTCTTAACCTTGTTAGAGGTACCGAAACCAACCAGTTTATATGCGCATCCACCGAAACCTTAATGAAAAATAAAACTATGATTCAAGAAGTGTTCCTTCAGTTTTGCCGGTGTGAGACGAGAGTTGCTCAACTTGGCATGACAAATCATGCAGATAGGACGCAGAGTCCCATCACGTTCTGTGTGCATGTTGTACATATTTGTCTGACCACTTTCTTTTTTTGCTCGACATAGCATGTATTAAAACATTCCCCCCTCCCCCCCAAAAAAAATCACAGGACGTACTATCACGACAGTCACATGTTGACTACTGAGCAAACTAACTTTCCCGCAGCACTGACTGGACAAGCAATGTCATGCGATCATCTGCAGCCAGTGATGGCCAAGCGGGCGTGTCGTAACTAAATGACATGTTGAGTCGGATGTGTCTTCGGGCACTCGGCGGGGTACATCCTGAACTGGTTGCCAGCTGGTCGCAGGGCACACATAGACAAACAACAATTCACACCCACAATCCATTAAACTGCCAGGCAAGCTTTCGGAACATGGGAGGAAGCCGGAGTACATGGAGAAAACTCAAACAGGCACGGGGGGAACATGCAAAGTCCACACAGGAAGGTGGGGGGCCCGGAATCAAACCCATGACCTCTCCTCTGGGAGGCGGATGTGCTAACTTGTCATTGAAGGTGTCGCCTAATAATAATAATAATAATAATAATAATAATAATGAAGATATTAGCAATAATAAAACAATGGTAGATTTGGCTGACTTGTGTTCGCGGATCGGTTCCCACTCAGTGACAGCTTGGATGTGGGTGTGAATGGCTGTTCGTCTCTATATGTGCCCCGTGACTGACTGGCGACCAGTTCAGGGTGTTGTCCATCTCTCCAGCACCACACGGCACACTGTGCAGTATAAGCGGTGGTGAGAACGAATGAAGGAATGGATGGAAAGGCTGTTGCTTTTTTTTCACACATCGTCGCAGTGAGATTCGTTTACATGCAGTAATATAGTGCATACATATAACCAGAAGACAAGAATTTACATAATTCTTATTCTTCGGGCGAAGCACGGTCTTGTGACGTAATTCACTCCCAACCGCTGCGCGAATTAAAACTGTAGATAGAGGAGAAAGGTTTATTTATTTATTTATTTATTATTTAAAATCAGCCAAATACAGGCTGTATCGTGAGGAGCAGGCGGCGGTGGGAGTGGATTGCCGTTCTTCTTTCCAGCATCACCGCCATTTCTGAAGGAGACGGTTTGTGCGTCAAACCCTCAGATGCGTCGTGGCCGTGTGCTCGTCGTTGAATGTAATTGTTGATGTCGACGTGAATCAATGAAACGGATGCGATTAACCACAGATTTTTTGAGTGAAGTGGAATATCTTTTTTTTGGTCCGCCACTGCGTTTATTTGAAGCCATTGTTTTGAGGTTTCTTATTTCTAACGTTTCATCCTTGTATTTCTCACGGGCTATGTCGACAAAAGAGACTCCATTTTCCAGTGATACGCAGCGCACGGCGGACTATTGTGGATCAAGCAGCAGACCGGAGGCTCATACATGGTAAATGAACGTGTTTCTCGAATTGTCTTGTCAAAAAGGATGCGATTCGGTAATATGGCACGACAGGACGTATGAGTCGAAGCAGCCTATGCAGTGGTTTGAATGTCATAGGATGCTGGGAGAGTGGGTCGTGTGGGGCTAAATTCAACTGTATGTTTCATGTCGTCATTTCGGCTGAGTGGAAACGGATAATGTAGGAAAACAATCGTCGGGCTTCTTTGGCAAATCCCTTCCAGGCGGCTGATTGACCTGGCACATGAACTTGTTTGCGCAAACAGCAGCGTTAATAGAATGATTTCAAGAAACGGGGATCCAAATCGTCCATTTGGCATTTCTAATCTTAAATTGTTTGGAATCCGACAGTCAACACTGACGCATTCCAGAGTGTGTGGATGCAATTTCTCTCACAAACATAATCTGTTAATGATGCAACACTCAAGTGTAATTCATTAGCACCAATTCATTCATTCATTCATTCATTCATTCTGTCACTCATTCAGTCAATCAGTCAGTCTGTCATTTCAGATCTTTCCCAAAAGTGATTTCTAGGTCTCTGGATGAAAGGGAAAAAAAACGACTTTGTGTGTGTGTTTGTGTGTGCAAGGTTTTATTGGGGGCACAGTTGTCTGATTAACCTGGATTATTGTGGTATCTTTTACTATAACATTATTGACTCAGCAAGTTGATTATTTGATTATGCTGTATTAAATATACAAATGTTGGTTTTAATGGATTCAAGGAGTAAGACCACTAGCTACAGAAGGAGCGTTGAATTGGCTCAAAATACCTCATTTTAAAGCTATGTTACTCCTCATATTAAAGCTTTACAGTAAAAATCCTAAAAAAAAAAAATCTAGGCCAGCAAGATGACTGGCAGCTCCCCAACTACAGTCTTAACTTTCATATTTTTGACCTACAAGTCCCAAAGTCCAAGCACTGACTGAGTTACTTTTATTCCCATCTTGCAGACATGAACAAAAAATAAATAAATAAAATGACAGCAGACACTGTAGCTCAAAATGTAAATGGTTCAGATAATGGATGGATGGTAATAATGAAGTCTATTGTTTTATGTCCCGATCTTGTTTTGTGATTGGATTCGTTAATTCATTATATGGCACTGCCTTCATACTGTTTCCGGAGACAGGGGGCCAGGCGATAGCAGTTCATGCAGTCCCTGGGGCTCTGATCTACATAGCTCACCCCTCAAGGAAAACATCTACTCAATGCTGTCTTCACCGCCCTCCCACCTCCATTCACTCAGCCCCACCACTTCTCACTATTGTTCTCTCCGTTAATATGCCCCTCTTTCCTCTCCTTTTACCTTTTCACCTAATTCTTGGTTTAGCTGTTAGCTACATTAATTTATTCCTTGATCACCATTAAAGGTTAATCACAACTGGATAATGGCAATGCAGTTATTGGTTTCAAATTTCATTTGAAGAAGCCAATTTTCCCCACCTCTTAGCCCAAGTCAGCTGGCCTGCGACCCTAGTTTGGATAAGCGGCACAGAAATTTGATGCACAGTGCCCCCACAAACACAAGACATCCTGTAAATGATATTTGCGTAACACAAACTATTGTTAAAATACAACATTTATTCACTGTACAGGGAATGATTTAGGGCATGGGTGTCAAACTCACTTTTGTCGTGGGCCACATTTTAGTTATCGTTTCCGTTGGAGGGCCGTTTTGACTGAAACCAAATTAAAGGAGGAAACAATAAAACAAACAGTAACTTAAACAATTCAACTGTTGTTTAAGTTACTGTAATGAGGGGTTTGGTTACAAGAAAATGCTTGCAATATGTCTCTTATTTATTATTTATTATATGAGAATTTTTAATTTTGGTAGAGATTTTAGCAAGCATCATGGAAGTTGACATGTTTCATTTGCTTTCGCAGGCCACATAAAATGATGTGGCAGGCCAGATCTGGCCCCCGGGCCTTGAGTTTGACACCTGTGATTTAATAAAGTTTCTTTGACTTACGAGTTTAATATGTGCTATGTCCACGCTTGTAACTCAAATCATACATATCTCAAATTAACGGTCCCTACCAAATATATATATATATATATAAAAAAATCCTCGTCTCACCCCTTGATTAATAAAGTTTCTTTGACTTACGAGTTTAATATGTGCTATGTCCACGCTTGTAACTCAAATCATACATATCTCAAATTAACGGTCCCTACCAAATATATATATATATATATAAAAAAATCCTCGTCTCACCCCTTGAATGGTGTCCATCCCTCATTCAGCTCGGGTCCTCTACCAGAGGCCAGGAAGCTTGAGGGTTCTGTGCAGTATCCTTGCTGTTCCCAGCACTGCACATTTCTGGACTGAGATGTCCGATGTTGGGTGTCTGGTTATTCAGCCTTGCTCACGACTCTTGTCTACAAGTGTCTGATTTTTCTGGACGTGCAAGATTTTTTGCGTCATAGATTCTCGCCACGTTTTTGTATTCGTATTTTTTCATGTAAGAAGTTCTTGTTGTGATTTCTCGGTTCGTATTCTCGTGTATTGAATTTTCTTTGAGCGACAAGCAATTAACATTTATCTTGATCCTTGCCTTTTGCAAGCGCCTTTTAGTTTTTTTTTCCCCCTATTTCCTGAGTATTTGTTACCAGCGTCTTTCATTGTTCTTTGTCGGGCCGGCATTTTGTAAATAAACATTTTCTTTTGTCAAACTCTTGTCTGTTTCTACGCTTGTGGATCCCAATTCTGTCCGGAGCTTCACGGATAGTTGACATATCCACGATTTTGTTATAAAATGAGCTGTAGTGAGCAAACCCATCTTTTACTAGAATACACAATTATTTTATAGAATTTTCAGTGGGGTACTGAAATAATGAAATTCGATAGCCTGTAGCCCAACATTCAACTGCCCAATTATATTGTCGTATATTTATTGCTTAATAAAATCCATGTTTCAAGTCCCTGGGATTAATTGGGACAAAAAAAAAAAAAATGCATCCATCCATTCATTTTCCAATCTGTTTATCTTAACGACAGTCGTGGGCCGGAGCCTATCCCAGCTGTCTTTTCCGCACTGTGAAACGGATGTGCTTACCAGTCAACCACTGCGCAGCCCGCTCTTCAAAGAAAAAAAGCTATTTCAAGGCTTGAAGAAAACTGAGTACTGATTCATGAGCTGGGGTCAAGAAAAGCAAGCACAGAGAGATCATCAGTCAGAGTCTGTGTGTGAAAGACTGAGGAATGACTCCACTGGATGCATCAAGTCTGTCTCGGGAGTGGCAGTCGCAATCCAGGTACATAGGTAGTTCGACAATAAGGGTGTTCCTTCAGCATGAGTACAGTTAATGACGAACCGTTCATGTGCTTACTTGGCAAAACTTGATGACGTATAATGGATACTTGTCGATAAAAACTACCCAGCTGAGCCTGAATAGAGCAGGTCTGCTATTCTGGGCCTCGGTATTGTATCTCTGCTTTTTTCAAATGCTGTTGTTCATTTGGCTACATCAAGTCACCATCTGCAACTCTCAGTCGAGCAGTTCGCAGCGTGTGAAGTGATTGGGATGAAAATCCATCCATCCAATCCATCCATTTTCTGATCCGCTTTATCCTCACAAGGGTCGCGGGGCATGCTGGAGCCTGTCCCAGCTGTCTTCGGGCAGTAGGCGGGGGACACCCTGAACCGGTTGCCAGCCAATCACAGACGAACAACCATCCATGCTCGCACTCACACCTAGGGACAATTTAGAGTGTTCCATTAACCTGCCACACATGTTTTTTTGGAATGTGGGAGGAAACCGGAGTACCCGGAGAAAACCCACTCAGGCATGGGTAGAACACACAAACTCCACATAGGAAGGCCGGAGCCGGAATCAAACCCTGCACCTCTGCACTGAGAGGTCGATGCGCTAACCACTGGCCCACCGGGCCGCCCGGGATGAAAATCAGCACCCTCAAGGCCATGGACCTTAGTTGGAAAAGAGCAGCGTGACCTTTCCAGGTTAGCGATCCTTCTCCAAGTGGAAGAAGTCAAGTATTTTGAGGTTTTATTCATGAGTGAGGGGAAGATGGAAGGAGAGATTGACGGGTGGATCGGTCTGTTGTGGTGCAGAAGGGGCAGAGCCAAAAGGCAAAGCACTGATTTTAATTAATTTAACTAATAAAGATCATTACAAAATAACTGTGGATTAGGACAAAAGGATTCAAAGCCGTGTTTTTTTTTTTTTTTTTTTTTAAAGGTAGTCACACCATAC